TTCTATGCATCCCATAAACTGAGCTCCCGCAGCTGTGGGAGGATAAGGTGAGCAGCGTTCCTTCCACCATCAGATATTCACGCAGCCCCTCCTACGAGCCGGGCACAGGGGACGCGCTGTGCACAAAACAGGGAGGGACCCTGCCCTTCTGGGGCTTACAGTCCAGGGAGAGGGGACAGACACGACAATGCAACACAGATGGCCACGCACAGCTGCGACAGGGGCACCTGACCAGCACCTATGCTTGTCCAGCATGGGGTTTGCAAACGGCATCTGCAGGAAGGTGCCCATTTCAACGGCTGGGACATTAGGGGAGAGTGGATTATTATTAAGCAAGAATTCCACTCATTTTTTGTTTATACGGCAGGAAAAAATTATGACATATTATTAGTGAAGCTCAGCAAATGAGAAGTGGAGGAGGAAAGAGCCCAAGAGCTTTTTCACAGGACGGGAGAACGTGTTCATGTCTGCGAGACGCACCAAAGGGTTAAAGCCATTTTCATTAAAATTTAAATTTCAGCAGGCGCCCACTCTCCCTGCCGCTCAGTCCTTTGAACGTTTGACTGGCAACCATTTCATATTTCAATCTCGGCAGAACAAATTGAATTAGATGTCGAAACCAAACTCGGCTCTGTTCACCAAAGCCTGCACGCTGGCTCACGCTAATCCTCCCGGATGCTGCGGGGACAGCCAGGCGCTGCGAGGCGGCCGCACACAAGACAAAAAGCCGGAGGAGGTGGCAGAGGACAGACAGGCGGCAGAGGCCGCTGGAAACCGGCTTCCGCCTCGCGAGAGGGTCTCCAGGCCCGGGAGACAGAGCCTAGTGTGGAGGCGGCGTTTCTGTGCCGGGGTCCCTGGTGCCCACACAGCGCCTCGCGCACCTGCTGTGCGTCTGATGATGAGCGAAGGAGGCGGGGACTAGCCTTTGGCTGAGGACTCATGCTGCCGGCCTCTGCCTCTGGTTCGTGCCCTTTGCACTCTCCTTTCTGAGAAGCCACAGGCTGCCCCCGCCCTCCAGGTCAAGATGGTCCCCTGGAACCTGGCTCCCCCTGGTCTGGCGATCCTCCACGCCAGCCCCGCCCAGTGTGCAAACGGGGCCAAGGATGCCAGCTCGAGTTTCCCGGGAGGAAGGAGGCAGCCTCCGGGCCTGGCCTGGGCCTCCCCTACACCCAGGGATCTCCCCACGGACAGGGGCCTTTCTTTAAACTGCTCAAGTCTGCACACTGACCCATCCATGCTGACCGAGGCCCTGAGTCTGGCTCTCTGAAAAGGCAATTCAATGGTGGCAAGGGCGTCCCTGCCTGTGGGTGACCCTCGGGGTTGCAAAGGTTAGGAACAAACACAGCAACACCAGGGCTCGGCAACCACTGGCCCATCTTGGGCCTGGCTTTGCACAGGAGTAACTGGGTCAACTGTGCCTGCCCGCCTGCCCTGGGGCACTCCCTCCAGGCCACCCTCCTGGGTGCGGACTCCTTTCTGCCATGACCCACCTCCTAGAGACTCCCAATCCTGCCTGTGCCTCGGATGCGGCCCAGCTGGCCTGTCGCACACACGCAGGGGTCTGACACCCTTGGTCATTCGCTGGGGGCAGTCCCACAAGCTTTCCTCTGTTAAATAATAATGGTACTAACAGCAAAGATGACCACCATCTATTCCCTGGTACCAGCATGAGACAGGCTGCTGAGTGCCTTCCGCCCACGACTACCTATTTAACCTTTATGAAAACCCTACGAGGTGGGAAAGCTTCCCGTGCCCATTTTAAAGATGGAAATCGAGGCTGAGAACCTCGAGACAGGTCACCCAGGCGGAGGGGGTGCCTGTGGGTGGAGTCGGGCAATGCGTTCTGCTCTCTCCCCCACCCCTCGGGGCACCTCCCTGGCACTCACCTCTGCCCCTCCTGTCTGACCCGGCCCCTCCCGCAGGTGGCTGCGTGGCCCCCTCACCCGTCCACGGGGGTCTGCGCAGCGCTCTCCCTGCCAGGCCCAGGGGCACTGGCTGCCTCTCCTCCTTCCCAAGCCCAGCGCTCCATCCTGAACGTTCCGTCCCCCTTCAGGCTCCTTGGGGAGCTCCCTGGCTCACCCCCGACACCGTCAAGCTTCTGCAGTGCCCCGGGTCTCCATCTGCTCGGCCTTCTGGAGCCCCATGTGCACAGACCAGCCACGCTGCGGCCCTCCCAACTCTGTTGCCCTCTCTCCCTGCCCAGGCCACCGCCGCCTCCTTCCCGCCACCCCTACAAGCAGGCCTCGCCAGCCCCCGCACCCCGCCGTGCCTGTCCTGCAGCTCCAGAGGGCGCTCAGGGGAGAACTAGCCCCAAAGGAGCCGGAAGAGCTGAGAGCCAGAGGCCTGTGGGTGACAGCAGCTCCGAGGAGGAGGAGGGCCTCGGGGAGGCGGCTGTGTTACCAGTCCAGGGTGAGGGCCTTGGTGGAGACGTCGTCACGGGGGACAGAGGGTGCTCTGGTCCCTGCTGGAGCCCACCTCTGGCCAAAGCTGACTGGAAGGCTGTCGACAGGGAGCCTGGAAAGGTCAACCTGCGGGGACCAGGGCAGGTGGGGATGGCCGTAGGGCACACAGCGGGGTCCGGCCCTGACGCTGAAACAGCCTGGCCCGTCTCCCTGCCACCCGAGCCACGGGCCTCATCCAGGTGCAGGGGCTGCGCTGAGCCCTGCGTCCTTGGGCCTCTGGGCATCACCTCTCCTGTCCCGGGCACCTGCTCCAGTCCAGCCTCCATGACATCCCTTGCTAGCTGTCTCCTGGCCTCTGGGGGCCACAGGCCCTCTGAGGAAGGGGGTAGCCTGTCTCCTGCCCCATCCAGGCAGCACGTGGACCCCGGGGGGCACGCCTTCCTCAGCCGCCACCTCTGTGGCTTATTCTGGAATTTCTCTCCTAGATCTTCCGGTCGTTTGGACCACTGATGTCCCAACATCACTTCAGACTCCACTGGAGGCCCCTTCCTGAACGTCCCCGTGCCCAGCCCAGCCCCCACCCCCCCGGTGACAACAGTGACTACCAACCCCCCGCGGCTGTGGCTGAGGGCCCCAGTACCCCAGTGCCCCCCGCACAGGGGATGGACACATTTCTCCTAAGGCTCTCAGCCCCTCCCCAAAGGGGCCAGGTGGGGTGCTTCCCCAGCTCTTATACCTCCCCGCACCTTCCTTCCTTCCAGAACGAAGACGAGGACGATGACAATGATGCCTACAGTAATAACAATGACGACGGCTGTGGAGTTCTTAACGTGTGAAGCAGCCATTACTGTCAAAGGGGAACAGACAGGGCTCAGGGTTACAGACATTCAAACCCCAGGCTGTCCCCCCACTGAGTGCTGTGACGGAAAGGGACAGGGACGTCCGAGACAGGGACACGGAGGCAGGGCTGGGTGAGCAAGGGGAACTGAGCCTGGCTGCTTTCCATAAAGAGGGCAGGGGCTGTCTCTGAGTGAGGAGGGGAATTTAAACTAAGATCTCAAAGTGGAGTAAAAAAGAAAGCAGTCAAGAAAACGGTAGGGAAGAGCATCCCAGGAGGGAAGGGCGAGTGCAAAGGCCCTGAGGTGGGAAAGGAGAGGGAGAGGCCAGAGAGCAAGTGTGAGGGCGAGTGGCGGGGTCAGCCGAGGCAGGGCCTTCCCATGGGTGAGGAGTGTGTGTGTGTGTGTGTGTGTGTGTGTGAGTGTGTGTGTGTGTGTATAGGGTCTGAAGGGTTTCAACTGTCAGGATCCAGTTCACGGGCCCAGCTCAGGCTGCACGTGCAGCGGGAAGTGCTCCTGGGGGAGGGGGGGGGAGGAGATGAGGGTGGCGTCTACTGTGGCTGCCCGAGAAAGCCAGGGCTGGCGTGAAGGTGGGGGAGTTGAATCGACTGCTCCTATTTGCTGACGGGTCTAGACAGTGAGCCCCTGCGGTGGGGGCACAGAGGCCAGGTGGGGGCAGGAAGAGGAAGGGGACACGGTCTCCCGGGGTCCGCAGGCTGGCGAGTGGCTGGTGCCCCCTCCTGCTGCTCCCTCAGGCCGTCAGCCTGATGAGCAAGACCTCACTCCCTCATCCCCTGCTGTCCGTGAGCCCCCTCTGGGCTCAGCCTTTGGCTTCCTGGCCTTTTCCTGTGGACAGAGGAAGGAGGAAGGCACCAAGGGTGGAGACCCGAGTTTCTGGGGTCAGGCAGAGCCACACCTGCAGGTGCCAGAAGCTCTCTGGGCCCAGGACACCGTGACGGACGCACTTTACAGACAGGAGACTGAGGATGCGGAAGGTCAAGTCCCTGGCCCAGGCTCGTGAGGCTGTGAGTGGCGGATTGGTACCTGGCACCCACACTGGTCTGAATGCACGGCCCGAGCTCGGCACACTGGCACCAGGAGGTGGCGAATCCTGCCCTGGGGATGGCCATCCTAGGCCACCCTAGGACCATCATCTGGTCAGTGAAGTCAGGGCCAACGACGCCTCCCTCCGTGTCAGGCCCACAGGTCTGACAATCCTATTTTTGGTGAGCACGGACCATCCCCCTGGCTCTGGTGGTGTGGAAATTGAGCGCCACCTGTGTGATCATGCACGAGGACCCACGCACCCCTAAACAGGAGGAGCAGTGGGGAGGAACAGATGGACCCAGCCCTGTCACCCCAAGACCCACAGCGACTGGGAGCCTGGTCACCAGAGGGTCTGGCCTGGGTGAGGGTTAACATCGACCCCACCGGACAGCCCCCACCAGATGCTGCAGTCACCCGAGGCTGTGGGTCAAACCGCCATAGAAGCTGGGGAGCGAGCCACGTGGGGTTGGCGTCTTCGCCTCCGTTACTTCTCAGAGGAGAGTGGGAGGGATTAGGTCATGCCGCCCCTCAGGAATAGGGGGGCTGCCAACGCCGAGGAGCCTTGTGTGGGTTCCAGGGAACTCTGGAAACTGGGTGGAGACTGGAAGCCCCATCCAGAACAACCTGACACAGACCAGGGCTCACTCACCAAGTCACAGGCTCCTCTCAGCTGGAGCCCGCCCGGCGCCCCGCATTTAGAAGGAAACCACAGTGCTGAGGGGTGCTTTCTCTGGGCTTTACTTGGATTGACTGCCTGAGTCCAAGCACCGTCTCTGAGGTAGGCGCACCCTCACCCCCATTTCACAGAAAGAGAAGCTGAGGGTCAGAGGGGACCTCGCTGGTCTGAGGACACGGCTGGGGAGGCTAGGCCAGGATTCAGACCCAGGGCGGATGGGCCGCAGCTCTTTCCTCTCCACCACCCTGCCTCCTGGCGTGCGCTGGCCACAGGCCCCCCCTGGGGAGGCGTGTCTCCAGGCTGGAGGAGGTGTGCGCCTGTGGGCGCCCCAAGCCTGGGACATCGTTTGCCAGGACGGGGACTCGATATATTTCACAGGGTGTCCGGCATTAGCAAGACAGCTGAGCTCGGCCAAGTGGCCTGGTGCCTGGGCTTGGAGCTCGGCTTCATGAGCGGCCCTGTGGCCAGAGGGGACCCAGGAGGCCATGGTGAGCAGACCAGGGCGCACGGTCCCAAGAGGCGAGGATGCAGCAGGACAGAGGCCAAGTCCCCCGCTGTGAGCAGGCCTCGGACAGACGCAGGAGGGGCTCCAGCTCAGCAGTCCTGGAGGGGAGAACAAGGACGGAAGCTTCTGGAGCCTGTCTTGCACGCTCAGCACCGAGCCTGGTGTTGTTCATGGGTTACTGCATTTTCTTTCTCACTAAAGCCCTACAAGGGGGTGACCAGTTAGTGAGGAGGAGACTGGGCCGGGGTGCCCAGGCTGCGCCGGGTGGAGCGGGGCTGCGTGCCCAGCAGCCTCACTCCAGGGAGCTGCCGGTCACCCCTGGTGCTACAGCCCTCCCGGGACCCGGGACAGGGGGCTAGCTCCCACGTGGCTGCACACCCTGGAGCGAGTCCTGAGTCCGTGTGTGCCTGACCTCCCTCCCGTAGGATGGGGCCAGGCTGCGTCTCAGGGTGCTGGGCGAGAGGGGAGGGGACATCTGTGGGAGCAGCAGACCTGGGCATGAGGCGGGGTGCTGTCTCTGCTGCTCCCAGGTCCTCGAGCTGCTGTGAGGGACACACTAACGTGGGGGCTGTGCGTTGCCCTGGCCCTCTAGTGCTGGGCACAGCTTGCGGGCAAGGGGCAGAGGACTGAGGCCCTCGTCCCCTCTGACCTTGGGCGCGTGGCGGGTGGGCGGGCAGCGCAGGAGCCAGAGCGGCTGTCCCGGTCCCCGGGGCCCTGGAGCACGTACCCTCTCGGTGCCAGCTCACAGCTGAAGGGTCTGCTCCTCGCTGTCGTTTTCACTGTCTTCCAGCTGCTCCAGGATCTCGTCCAACACCACAGACCGCTTTTTCTTCGGGGGCTCTGTGGGAGCCCAGATGGCAAGAGAGGAGAAAAGAAGAGCCGAAAGGGTGGGGAGGCAGAAGAGAGAGACGGAGAGAGGGAGAGCGGGAGGGAGGCGGGGAGAGGGAGGAGTGGAGCAGGGAGAGAAAGCAAGGGAGGGAAGTGGGGGGACAGAAGGAACCAGAAAAGAGAAGAAAGGGAGGAGAGACTCAGAGGAGGAGGAATGAGAGAAGGCGGGGAAGAGGGGAGAGAAACACTGCGGTCAGTCTGCAGCCTCACTCACCACGGGGCTGCCTCTCCCGGCCCAGAAACCCTCCTGCTCTGTGGCCGCCCCCTCCCATCGTCTCAGGGGACAGGACACCATTTCAAAAGGGAGGGAGGAAGGCCCCTTCCCAGCAGCTCAGAGGGTAAGGAATCTCTGCCTGGCTAGGGGAGCCGAAAACCTTCAGAGGGGCTGAGTCAAGCGAGGGCAGGGGTTGAGGGAACAAGTAGCTGTTCCTCTATTCTTGAAGGTCACAGACACTTAATGGTATAGTAGGCGGCTGGCATACAGTAGGTGCTCAATAAATGCTGGGTGAATAGACGCTCAAGGAACCCACAGGAGGCAAGGAAGGAGTAACAATCAGAGGCGCCTTTAGAAAGGAGGGGCTATTTGACTTGGGCTTTGAAGAATACAGAGGAGTTCTGTGAGGAGAGGGGTAAGGGGATGCAGGCGCACAGCACAGTCGTATGAAAGGGCAGGGTGGGCTCAGCAAAATACAAGGCTGGGCCCCAAACACTACTGATTGAGTATCTACTATGTGCTACACCTCCAATCCTCTCAACTACCCCACAGGCAAGAACTGTTATTGCCTCTTACAGGCGAGGGACCTGAGCCACGGACAGCAAGCCTACAATCCCTCAGCTAGGAAGGGGCGAAGCCAGGATTTGAACTCAAGCCACACCAAAGCCCACAGTCTTCCCACTTTTCACTAAAGTCTCCAGGGCTGACCAGAGAATGCCAGAGAGACAAGGGGAGGCAGGAGAGGGTGTGCTGGTCCCCTTGGCCCTCCAGGAAGGGAATGGGGTGGGGGGAGGTTGGGCTCAGGGCTGGCCCACTCCGTCAGTCCCTCTGCTGGTCCAACCACTCATTGGTGGTCAGCCTCGCTCACAGGTATCACATGATCTGGACAGAGGCGGCTGTGGAGGGGCCGTCCCGATTCCCTCTCCTCCCCGGCTCAAATGACACCTCCTCTGTGAAGTCCTCCAGGCGGAACAAGCCATCCCTGTGACCCTGTGCCTCCATCTCCCCGCTGGGTGGCGGGCATGTCTTTCTCACCCGCTCTCCCCAGAGCCCAGTCCGGCGCCTGGCCCAGAAATGAAGAATCCCAGTCTCTTCCAGGTGATCTTGGGCGAGTGACTTGGCCTCCTTGAGCCAATTTCTCCATCTCATGCCTCCAAAACCGACGGGGACACCGACCCCTTTTCATCTCCACGGCCACCCGCCCGACCCAAGCACTTCTCACCCGCCTCCCGCCTCGCCCTCAGGGCCCAGGGCTACAGGCAGCCCAAGGGATCCTTCGAGAACAGGTACTACCGCTCGGGGGTCTCGGAGCTCCCTGGCTTTGCGCCACACAGATGCGGCATCCCTGGGGCGGCCCTCCCTCCGGGCTCGGGAAGCTCGCTCCACCCAGACGCCTCCGCACCCACAGGGCCCGGACCCCTCAGTCCAGCCCCAGCTCCCAGGTCCCTCCTCGGAGAGGACTCCCCTGGCCACCGTCTGACACAGCACTTCCCCTCCCAGCCCCTCTGCGGGCATTTCTTCATTCGGGACGCTGCCCGTTCCTTGTCCCTGCCTTAGCACGCTGCCTGGGGGGGCGCATTAGTATCTGCTGGACGAGGGAAGAGCGGATGGCGTGGTCTAGGGATGGAGGGCCAGGAAGGCGTGGGAGGCTGCCCCCGCCCGCCTGGGGAGCCTCCGGCCTGGCAGCTGCACCTGTCATTGTTAACCACAGAAGGGGAGAGGGGACAGGAGGTGGCTTAGACCCCGGCCTTCTCTCCTCTCCTCGTGGCTCTTGGTTCCTTATGACGGCCAGCTCTGAAGATGCACAGGGGCCTCTGGAAACTGAACTCGTGGTGGGAAATAGGAGCGGGGAAACAGAAGGGCAGCAAAACATGGCGTGCGGGCCTGTCATTGGCACCCCGCTCCCCACGCCTGGGACGGTGGCTCCCTGCTCTCCAGGGCCACAGTTGGCCTGGGGTCTGGGGGGTGGTCAGGGGTGGGGGTGGCAGCAGCTGGCAGCGTTCACTTCCACAGCATTTTCTCTCGCACAGACCGAGCATGGCTCTGGGAAACGGGCAAGGGGGAAGTGTCACGCTTCCATTGCGTGGCTCAACCTCGGAAATCGTACTGGACTCCGAGCCTTTCTCCCCACCTCTGCCGCGGCCCCTCTGCCCAAGTGGCTGTCATCTCTGGCCTGGCCACAGCCTCCTCTGCCCTCCCTCCCAGAATCTGGTCCTGAATGGTGGCCAGAGGAATCCTGTTAAAACTTACATTGGAGCATGTTGCTCCTTTGTCTAGACCCTCCATCGGTGCCATCTCACCTGTGAGGGTGGCTGCCAGGGCCACACAGGCAGCCCGTCGTGTCTCTGAACTTTCAGTTACCACTCTCCCCTCACTCACTCTGCTCCAGCCACCCCGAGCCACTTCCTGGTCCCTGGCACCCACCTCTCCCACCTCAGGGCCTTTGCACCTGCTGTTCCCTCTGTCTAAAATGTTCTTCCACCAGGAAGCCACTTGGGGGCCTCATCTTTTTGGTGAGCTCTCCCTGATCTCCTTGTTTAAAATCACAAGTCCCTCTGACGCCCCGTTCCCGGTCATTTCCCTCCGCAGCACTGACCCCTCTGTGAGGACGTTTACTTGTGTAGTTTATCGTCTGATTCCCTCCCAGGACGTTGGCTCCGGGGGGTGGGGGTTTGTCTGTTTTGTTCACTGCTCTATCCCCAGGGCCTGGGACAGAGACTGGCACACAGCAGACACTCAACGAGTATCTGTTGAGTGACTGACTGAACAAACGACAGGGGGACAAGGCTGCTGAAGGACACAGAGAGCAGTCTGCAACAACCTGCACTTATACGACAGAGATGTGAGCACCTGCTCCGGGCTGGGCAGGGCAGTGAACGAGGCGGGCCCTGGGCCAGCGTGGGGAGATGGAGAAGCAACCAGACAACTGCAGCTCAGCGCAGAATCCACTGCACTGGGATGTGGCAGGCACCTGTGCCGGGGCTATCAGGGCGGCTTCCTGGAGGAAGTGACGTCAACACGGCCAGACCCCAGCTGCCTCCCTGGCATCAACTGCCCTCTGAGACAGCAGGCGCCTCTCAACCTCAGCCCCAGCCCCACGGGCACCAACGCCGCTTGTCTCTGCCCAGGAGCTGGGCCTCACTGCTTTAAAGACGGGTGAACCAGGTCTTCTCCATGCTCGCCTGGAATGCCAGCCCTGTTCTCTCTCCGCTTGTAGGGCCCACCTTCCCCTGAGCCACCTGGGCTCCAAAGACTCCTCCCCTCTGGTCACCCAACAATCACTTAGAGAGCCGGGTACCTGTGCGGCAGCATGGGGGCTACAGGCTCCCGCCCACAGGAGGCTCACGCTCTGAGGCCCTGCAGAGGCAGCCGTGGGGAATGAAAAGACCCCACACCATCCAGAGCTGGGCTCCAATCCCGGCCCTCCCCACCTCAGTGGGGGCCCTGGGGTCGGCGCTTCACTTGCGGAGCCTTTGCTCCCTCTTCTGGATCAGGCAGCCCCGGGGTCCCGCAGAAGCCCGGGAGGGACTGAGGGGACGGAACTGCTGCCCTCTGCGCCTCAGATCGGCTGGCGCTAACTGCGCCTGGGTGAACTTCCACCCACGCACACGCCCTTCTCACATTCGCAGTTTCCAGCAGGTGGTGCGAGCACAGGAACATTCCAGAAGGACGAGGGCACATGGTGGAAGGGAGACCTGCCCTCTGCCGCCGTGCCAGGCGCGTGGGGGCTTTTACAGCACCAACCGGCGAGGAGTGCCTGCAGGTGGTGACCGCGACTTCCCTGCAGCGTGCCCCAGTGCCCAACAGGCACCCCGGCACCTGTCCCCGCAGAGTCTCCTAGGGAAGCGCAGCCCAGGGTAACTCGGGCCTGCCCAGCTCCTCGAGAGCCTGCCTGCCATCAGAGGGTCCCCAAGACTGCGCTGGCCAGGCCCTGGCAGACCCTGAGCTCTGTGTGCTGGCGGCTGGGTCTGTCTGGTTGGCTGTGGTGTCCCAGGGCCCAGCGCATAGTAGGTGCCCTGGAATCATTTGTTGAATGAATGAATGAATGAGCCCTAGGGCATCAGGGTCGCTAACGTTTAAAAAATGAAACTGCTGTTTTTGGAATAGCAATAAAACAGAGTGTCAGAGCTGGGAGGCACCCAAGACGGCATCTGGCTGGGGAAACTGAGGCCCAGATGGAGGGGGACGTAGCTGGAAGAGGAAACACGCACAGGACGGCCACGTGACAAGCAGCGTCCATCTGAGTCCCACAAGCCCCTCAGGAGGCGGGCGGCGTCCCCCACTGCCCAGCTGCGGAGGTGGAGGCGCAGAGGGGTGCACCCCCAAGGCCCCACAGTCAGCGGCAGCCCTCCAGTGCACCTCAGCCACCTTGGCGGGTCCAATTTGCAACCCACACAAGCTCTGTGCGGCGCCACGTGGCGCTCCTGAGGGGCCCTGCCGGGGGCGGAGGCACAGTCGAGGCCACACAGGAGCCCACAACAGGCACGGGGTCACACGCTTGATGTTAGGATGGGACATGCTTGGCTCTGGCTCCCAAGCTGTGTGACACGGGGCAGGGCAGGCGTCCCTCTGAGATGCGACCCCGCACGTATAAGAAGGGCGACCAGCCTGCTCCTCCACCCCTCCCTCTGTGACCCCAGGCCCCAGTGTAGAGGAAGCCCTCCCAGGCCGTCTGGAGCAGGCGAGGGGTTCCCCTTTCTGTGGGAGGCTCTCGGAGCACCCCTGCTTCTCCTCAGTA